TGCTGACAGTATGGAACCTGCTTGGGATTCTCTCTCTCTCTCTCTCTCTCTCTCTCCCTCTCTCTCTCTCTTTCTCTCCCCCCTCTCCCCCACTCAAGCTCTCCCTCTTTCTCTCAAAATAAATAAATAAGTATTAAAAAATTGTTTGTAGTAGGATTGATTCGTTAATACATTTAAGAAAAAAACCCCTTCATTATTTGGGACTGTCTGACACTTTGTAGGACATCCGACAGGTCTCTCCCACTAAGTGGCTGTAGCAACCACAAACTGTCCCAACAACACTCCACAAGGGGCAGTACTGTCCCCTAGGAGACCAGCAGTCGCGGCGGGAGCACAAAACAAATGGAGTGTTCATCAAACTGTCAGTCTCAAAGGCCCTTCTGAGCAGACATGCTCATTACTTGTTCTACAGTTAAAACCCCTAAAGGCTGACCTGCGGATTAATCACTGGGTGAACAGGATAAAAAGAGAAGTCCCTGCAAGGAGAGTGGCAGCTTGCTGGCCCAGACTACTTATAGTCGTGGACTTGAGGGGTTTTCTTTGCTAATTTTTCCCTTTGAGTTGTGTGGTTTTTTTTGTTTTTTTTGTTTTTTTTTTTTTAATTTGGTCAAACTACCATAGGCCGAAGGATTCTCCCAGGGTCCAGTGTCACATTCTTCCTTTTGGAAAAGAAAACATGTGTCCTTGCTTGAAGAATTTGGCCTTAAGCATCTGGTAAACCATGGCCTCAGCATTCTTCATTTGTTTAGAACAATTAGATGTGCCCACCAGTGGAGGGCAATGGTTGGTTGTGCTATGCTCCCTTCTGGGCACGACCACGTACATATATGCCCTGCAGGGTCCATGCCTGCATTCCTCCAGCTTCCAGAAGTCTCTATCATCTGGAAAAGTGATGGGGGTAGGGAGAGGTTCCTGTGGGGTGAAGAGAAAAAAGGAAGAAGGCAGAGGGAGAGCATCCAAGCAGAATCAGAGGAGAGAGTAAAATTCAGAGTCGGTGAGAGCAAGAGAGTGTGAGAAAGATTGAATTGAGATCTCTTATATATGGGGGTGTCCTTGTGGTCTCGCTCCCCATTCTTTTCTACCACCAGATTTCTCCACAGACTCTTCCTACATCTCCTGGTGTTGGCCAAGATTCAGAATATGGAGAAGCTCAGATTTGCTAATAATACTTCAAGACTGGATAATGACACACAGATTGGTTTTTTCCATCTTTGGGATTTGGAGCAGCTCTGGGAGTTGCAAAACCTGCCTTGGTGCAAGAATATTTCTGAAGGCTCTCACTGTCTGGTCACTGGCTCTGTGCTGTTGGGCACAGTGGTGCAGCCATCCAGGGTGGCGGGGACCACCTGGGATATGGAAATTACCAGCAGCCCGGTTTTGCATTCGCCGGAGCACCTGAAGCATTCTGGGAATTTGAATTTCTGTTGTTTCTCTCAAACACCCCCTTAGGGGCAGCAGGCAACAAACATGGATGGACCACATTTTGCCAGAAAAGCCCAAAAGGATGATGGCTGCTGTTGTCAATTATTGGCATTTCAACAGGACTGTATTTTTATTTCTGAGTATATTTACACAGCTAGGAAGCATCTGCTGACAAGGATGAAATGATAAGCTGTATCCGTGCCAAAACAGGACTAGAAAAACAGACTTGTTCTGCGAATGGACTGCATCTCGAGTCGGTGTTAAGAAAATTCTTTCTCCACAGGCAATATCTGCACGCAAAACATTAACACTTGGGGCGCCTGGGTGGCTCCATCAGTTAAGCGGCTGACTTCGGCTCGGGTCATGATCTCACCATTCATGAGTTCGAGCCACACATCGGGCTCTGTGCTGACAGCTCAGAACCTGGAGGCTGCTTCGGATTCTGTGTCTCCCTCTCTCTCTCTGCCCCTCCCCGCTTGTGCTCTGTCTCTCTCTCTCTCTCAAAAAATAATAAATAAATCATTTAAAAAGCCATTAACACTTAAAATAGGACTTGGAATCCCTATTAAGTAACATAGTGCATGCACACAGTAGGTCCCTAATGAAAGTCTGCTAAAGGAAAGAATCGATGTGTGCAGGCACCTGAAGGAAGATGGGCGATCAGTAGCCCCGGAGAAAACTTCCCACCCTGCGCCTGAGGGCCACGGTTCTTTCACTGGGAAGAGCGTGATGTGAGGCTGGCTCTCAAGGTGTCTGAGATTCAAGCAGAAGAGGTCTGAAATTCTACCCCTGGGTGCACAAGGAAGAAGAACCGTGTGGCTGGATGTCACCTTGAAGCAGGCTGCTCCTCGATTCTGTGGTTCTCTTGAACCAGAACAGGATTATTGGTGTATGAGGCCAGCATCCCGGGTGGTGACAAAAAAGGAAATTGGTAGAAAACGCATCATCCAAGTTGGATTAACTCAGCTCTGTGGCCTGGGCAGGTTCCCAGGACATACAGCCAGATGCAGGGCCTCTGGGAGACGGGAGGCTAGAACGTGTGTGGTAACAGAGGGAAGTGCGAGGCAGGGTGGGGGGCCGCTCGGAGGCGCCCCTCACCCTAACCCACTGGTGCACAACCCTCCTGCCATCCATCACTTCCAGGCCAACCCCGAGGCCACTGGACAGTTGCCCAATTTCTAACGGACACGTTCTTTCTCTGTCAACAGTTCACATGGAACGTTAAGTGAAGGAATCCGGCAATTTCTTCCTTATTTCACTGCCTGTCTATTGCTTACTCATTCTGTGGTCTATTTGCTCTGGATCCAAGTGCCTCTGGGTACGAAAAGCTACATTATTGTATTCGACTGCATGTAAGCCAAGATCCCGACCATCCTGGTTTTGTTGTTGTTGTTGTATTTGTTCTAAAGCTTGGCCATTTTCCATTCTGGGCAATTACCGCTGTTTACTATGAGTTCCACTGCATAGGTATTTTCCCCATCGCCGACCTCTGGGTTGCGGTGTGGGCAGTAACTGTCATCACATCACAGCCTGCTAAAGGAAAGAATTGTAGCAGTACAAAGTCAGACATTAATAAACGTAGGGGACTTAGCTTGAAGGTACCAGTGAGGATGGGGAGAGGATGGGGAGGAGAAGAAATCTCTTTATGAGGGGGCCAGTGGGCTGAGAAGAAATAAGACTGAAAAAGATGTTGCTAAATACATAATGCATCATCTGGAGACAAATACAGCATCATCTGCTCTCTGTAGGATGGTATGATTCGGCGGAATGGAGTTTGTTTCTCGAGTGTTTACTTGATAGAAAACCCATCTTTGTGGTCCTACGACAGGATTGACCCATCCTGCCCTCCTCTTGCTCTGAATACTTGCCGCCTCTTTGTCACTCACCTTCCTCTGGTCCTTGGGCTGAGTTCCCAACTCAGGTGATCAGGATTCTTTTTGTACAGGTGACAGAAACCAACTCACACTGTCCTGAACAAAAAAGGGAATTTATAGGGCGCCTGGGTGGCTCAGTTGGTTGAGTGTCTGACTTTGGCTCAGGTCATGATCTCACGGTTCGTGGGTACGAGCCCCGCATCGGGCTCTGTGCTGACACCTCAGAGCCCGGAGCCTGCTTCCGATTCTGTGTCTCCCTCTCTCTGCCCGTCCCCTGCTCGTGCTCTGTCTCTCGAAAATAAATAAATGTTAAAAAAAGTTTTTAAAAGGGAATTTATGGGTTCATGTGTTAGAAAGGATACTATAGAAGTTATAAGGTCAAAAGAAAACAGTGTAAGAATAGGACCTTGTGCCTGAACTGGGATTTCCCCCCTACCCCTCATATAACTATTACTTCTACATTCTGTTGCTCAGCTCCATTCTGCACATGGGAGCTCCATGAGCAGGGAAGGTGCCACACCTGAGAGTCACCATTCTCACCCTCCAAGCTCAGCAATCTAGAGGAAAGAGTTTCTGTTTCACAACGTCCATATACAACTCCAGAAAAAGCTCTGTCTAGCTCAGGGCTAATACTGTCCCAAAGAATAGAGTGGCCTGATTGTCTCATTTCTTTCTTTCTTTTTTTTTTTAATGTTTATTTATTTTTGAGAGAGAGAGAGAGAATGAGCCCGAGAGGGTCAGAGAGAGAGGGAGACTGAGGATCTGAAGCAGGCTCTGTGCTGACAGCAGGGAGCCCAATGTGGGGCTCAAACTCACAAACTATGACATCATGACCTGAGCTGGAGTCAGATGCCCAACTGACTGAGCCACCCAGGCATCCCCTGATTGTCTCATTTCAGTCCTGAGTCTACCTGTGGCCCAGGGAGTAGGATCTGTTTCCAGAAGAAAGGCAAGAGGGGAAAAAACAAAACAAAACAAAACACGCCTCCCAGTGAAAAACAACAGTTCCCGTGGTCCTCTGCGCCCACCCACCATAAACCTTTCAGTTGAGGAGGAAAAGTAGGAAGGGCCTAAGCCTCATCTGAAACCTCATCTGAAACATAACAGCAAGGTAGATCCTACCTGGGAAAATTACCTGTCAGTCACTCCACAGGTCATTCTTGCTGTCTGTGCATCTCACAAGAATGTCACATGATAATGATCACATGTGGAGTCAGTGCATTGGGCTTCCTTCCGGCTCTGCTTTGTCCTAAGTTTTCTTAGCAAGTTCATGCATCTCTCTGCCCTTTGTTTTCTTCATGGGAGAGGAATAATAACGCCTCTCTCAGGGGTTTGTCGTCAGCGTTAGTGGGATAGTTTATGTTGATGTCAGACGGGCCAGAGAAGGAGCGGCTGGTATAACCATTACAACCCCGAGGCTAACAGTGCCTTTCCTGGGGATCGTGATGACAAGTCCCAGAAATTGGCGCACACGTGGGAGGCCTGATAGGTTTCTCGGTGTTCTCAGACATGTATACTGAGTAGGAATTTCGTGCCGTTGCTCAGATGCAACGGGTCCCAGACTTCTGCCCTGCTGTGCTGGGGGCAGTGGGGGCGGGGGGGAGTACTGGCGCTGGCTGGGTTTTACATCCCGCACACACTGCCAGTCTCCTAGACCTCGTCGTCTTGGAGTTTCTCTGTCTCACTCTCTCTCTGCGCATTCAGGAGTGTACACATTTCTGTCCAGCACCCTGAAGTCTCTGGAAGAGAAGGACCATATCCATCGTGTCTTGGACAAGATCACAGACACCTTGATCCACCTGATGGCCAAAGCGGGCCTGTCTCTGCAGCAGCAGCACCGGCGTCTGGCCCAGCTCCTCCTCATCCTGTCCCACATCAGGCACATGAGGTGAGGCATCCTTGGGTCCCCCCCCCGGGAGCCCTGTAATGAACACAAGCCCTCAAACGTGCTACCACTGGGCCGGGAAGGGCTGACGCCTGAATACAGATAGCGCCCTCGGAACAGTTCCCAGGACATAATAAACAGAAACGCTATGGGACGACGGAGGAGGGAAGAAGGAAATCTGTCTAGGGCATGGGGCAGGTGTCAGAGAGGTTTCATAGAGGAAATGATATTTGCACCCAGTTTGAAGCCTGCACAAGGTCTGATGGGAGGAGTGTGTGGTGTGCGGGCAGAGGGAGGATGGCAATGTTTGATCATTCGTTTTATCTCACCACTCAAGGCGGGTGCGTGAACACAGCTGTCCTCTGAAGGCACCCGGCACGTCCATTACGGTTCCTGCATCACGCTCCCCCTATTTACAGTTGGAAACCCGGGGGCACCCAGGTGGCTCAGTCGGTTAAGCGTCCGACTCTGGCTCAGGTCATGATCTCACGGTTCATGCGTTCGAGCCCCACATCAAACTCTCTGCTGTCAGCACAGAGCCTGCTTTGGATCCTCTGTCCCCCTCTGTCTCTCTGCCACTCCCCAGCTCATGCTCTCTCTCAAAAAGAAACATTAAAGAAATGTTTTTTTAAATTTTTTTTTTCAACGTTTATTTTATTTTTGGGATAGAGAGAGACAGAGCATGAACGGGGGAGGGGCAGAGAGAGAGGGAGACACAGAATGGGAAACAGGCTCCAGGCTCTGAGCCATCAGCCCAGAGCCTGACGCGGGGCTCGAACTCACGGACCGCGAGATCGTGACCTGGCTGAAGTCGGACGCTTAACCAACTGCGCCACCCAGGCGCCCCAAAGAAATGTTTTTTTAAAAAGAGAAGAAAAAAGAAATCCTGACAGAATCTCGGTCCCTACAGCGCACAATCACCATTGATTCTTCCATTCCTCTCAGATCCCTTCTTGTCACCCCTCACGGCTGTTACCCTCATCCAAGCCACCGTCATTTCCTTTTGGATTTCTGCAGAGGCCACCAAACATACCTCCCTGCCTTCAGTCTTGACCCTTCCTAACCCATTCTCCACCCAGAGCCACAGTGGCCGTCCTAATACCACATCTGATCACCTCATTCCTTTATTTAAAACCCTCAGCTTCCCATCGCTTTAGATACAAGTGTAAGTTCCTTTATTTTGCTTGTACAACTTCTGTGCTCCAGCGGTTACTTAACTTCCTGGTAGTCTGAGCTCTGGCCAGGCACCTTTGTTCTCTGAGTCATGGGTGGGCAACTCCAGGTTACGCATCGGCTGGCGGCTCTGTCCATCCCCGCTGCGTTCCCTCCTGCCTGTGGGACAGCTGGGCACAGCTGGGGGACTCTGCTTCAAGCTGCAGGCCGGCCAGGTGACTGCTCCGTGTGTTCTTTATCCTCCTGTCCCCACAGGTTAGCTGGGACGTATCGTTCTCACGGCAATGGCAGAGGTACAGGAAAGCAAGCCTATAAGGGCAAGTGCGTTTTGCTCTTCTAGTTAAGTGATATCTACAACATTCTGTTGGCCAACACATCACTTGATGAGGCTTCAAGTCAAGATCAGGAGCATGGGCACAGGGAGGGAGTATTTCAGAACAGTAAGCTAATCCATCATGGCTGAGATATTCTTTTCAGGAGGCATCTCCTGACCCTTAACCCAGCTGGGATTTATACCCTATTCTTCCTGATCGTTGTTTCGTGTCTTGTTTTCTCTCTGCCCCAGTTAGACTGTAAACCCTTTGAGGCAGTTGTCACAATCCATCATGCATCATCTGTGTACCCAATACCTCCTAGCATAGGGCTTGGCACATAGTAACTACTCGATAAATATTTTGTGTAGGGGTTAAGGAAGGGTATTAGCAGAGGAAGTAAGAGCCTCTCTGTGCCAAAAGGACAAAGTGGCTTCATTTCTATTTCAAATGGTCACGTCATGTGGCTGGCTAGACGCTTAATGGATACTATTCCCATGAACAGAACTCTGGCTGCAGGGAAGAAATAAGCAGTTGGTATATTCTTTACTCCAGAAAGGCCCTAGAAACGAGAGATCAGAGAGCCATGCATGATGATGTCTATATGACCTTGGGCTTACACCCAGACCCTCGGAACGAAAATGTAATTTCTTCTCTTAGTGGCTATGAGGAAAGGGCATGGTGTCTGAGGGGTTGGCTTAATTTGTAAGGGGCTTTCAAACCTCAAGATTAAGCATCAAGAGGCAAGATTGCATTCAGCCCACACATTTCTAATCCTTTCCCATTTATTTTTATGAATATTACAAAGAGGGAAGCAGGAGTGCGTCAGAGTAACAACCCTCTGCCACATTACCTGGCTGAGAGAGGAACCTTCCCCTAGAAGAAGTGTGTTAACATTTACTCTGGGCTGGGGATTTCAAAGATGTCATGGAAACCATGTATTACAGATGAAGGTTTTTATTCTTCGGTAGGAATTGCTGAGTCTTCAAATCTGTCAACTGCTTTTCAGCATTAGCAAGCCTGATTAGCGAATACCCAAATATGTCTGCACTAAATTTATAGGCTTTAGTACTTTTGTTGGCCTATGTAGAGGGCAGCAGCGGGGAGAGAGCTCTGAAGAGTTTGTCTCAATTGTGCAAAAGCTGGAGAGAAGCTGCTAATCTACTAGATTTGAGCATTTTCTCTCTCGCTCACTTGGGCGCGCACACACACACACACACACACACACACACACACACAAATGTTTTTGGTGCCTTATTGCAGCCAATCTAGCTCTGTTTTATTAAGGTTGGCCCCAGCCATATGTTGTTACTCAGAGAACTTAACACCCAGATTTCATGTGACTATAAATGATTCATTAGGTTGCAAGAGCAAGACAGTGTGAGATCCAGTGGGCATTTAGCATTAACAGCATTTTTAAATTAAAAAAAACACACACATACACACACACTTAGATGTGTAATTGGGTTGTGGTGTCGTAAGACCTGAATAGTTTGATGCTGTGTTTTTCTGGCATGTCTCCAGCTCATGCGACTTTTCCCCTACTAAAAATGCCAATATTTTCTAGGGTATTTGGTCCTGCCTACTCATGATCCATCATTCTTTCTAAACAATTTCAAGCTCCCTAAATGGTTGTTCTGTGTTTTTTCCATGGGTGGCGTGGTGAGAGAAAGAGCAGAGTTGTAGCTGGCAGAGGGTGGGGGGGACAGCGGTTAAAAGGAGAAATGCCATTTGCCTACATTTCCCTGTATCCATTTGCCCCATATTTTCTGAGCATTTACCACATTCTTGGCACTGTTCCAGGCCTGCAGAATGGGCAAATTACTGCCCCTCGAGGAGCCTGCCCTGTGTGTGTGTGTGTGTGTGTGTGTGGGCACACATGCCTGGGGGAAGGAATAAGCGTGCATATGTACAGAGAGCAATTTCAGGTTGTCACATTGCTGGGAGGAAAACAGAGTAAGTGAAAGAGAGCAGCTAACGCTGTAGGCCCTGAGGTCACAGCCACTGTGGCAGCAAAAGGACTTCCAAGGGAGGTGGCGTCTGAAGATTTGGGGAAGAGGGGCACCTGGGTGGCTCAGTCGGTTAAGCATCCAGCTTCAGCTCAGGTTATGATCTCATGGTTCGTGGGTTCAAGCCCCACGTCGTGCTCTGTGCTGACAGCTCAGAGCCTGGAGCCTGCTTCGGATTCTGTGTCTCCTTCCCTCTCTGCCCCTCTGCCGCTCATGCGTGCTCTCTCTCTCTCTCTCAAAAATAAATAAATGTTAAACAAAAAAGATTTAGGGGAAGAGCATCCAGGCAGAGGGAACAGAAAGGGCAGATACCTGAATCTGGGAGTAAAGAGCTCAGTTTCTTCAAGCTCTTTCTTAGAAAGCTCAGCAGAAGTAAAGAGCGTGAGCTAGGGGAGAGAGGCCGGGGGAGCTAGGAGAGGTAGATGGAAGCACATCAGTTAGACCTTGCAGAGCATGGAAAGAAATTTAGAGCGTATTCCGACAAAATGGCAAAGAGCTGGAACATTTTAAACAAGGGAAGTTCTTGAACTGTTCTACACATTTAAAAACCTCCCTCCTACATGACTAGAGTGACTGGATCATCTCCATTCTCTCGTTAGATGCAATAGCGGGGAACAGAACCTCATTTGAGTCAGAGGAAGGAAGTCGCCCGCATAACAAATCCTGGAATGGCTCTTTCAACAGGGACAAAGATCGGCATGCCGGTGTCTTTGGAGTTTCCCTGGTTTCCCCTTCCTTGGAGTCTCGGCAGGCCTCGAGCTTGCGACGCTCTAAAGCGGTCCCCTTTGTGTCTTCCCACCCGCAGTAACAAAGGCATGGAGCACCTGTACAACATGAAGTGCAAAAACGTAGTGCCTCTCTACGATCTGCTGTTGGAGATGCTGGACGCCCACCGCCTGCACGCCCCAGCCAACCGGGGGGGCGCACCCATGGAGGAGATGAACCAGAGCCAGCTGGCCACCACGGGCTCAACTTCAGCACATTCCTTGCAAGCATATTACATCACTGAGGAGGCAGGGGCTTTCCCCACCACAGTCTGAGAGCTCCCAGGCTCCCCCAAGGTCCTGAGAATCCCTGCAGCATGTTACCCACATCATGCATCACGATAGCAGAGTTCTCCTATGCGCACTCGGCATGCATCCGCCATCGTGGCTTCCTAATATGAGTGGCCATCCGTCTGCTTGCTCAGTTCTTAGTGGCACGCCTTCTTTTGGGAACAGCCAAAGGGATTCCAGGGCTAAATTCTTTGTAATGGCTCTCTCTGCCCCCTTTGCTACATTGCTAAGCATGAGGATTCTGTAACTTTTCATGACTGAACTCAGTCTATGAGCTGGGACTCAGGTGACTGTGCATTTAAGCTACTCGTTGAGACCCAGGCCTGGAGAGTGGACATTTCATCTCTGTGAAGCGTTTACTGGCTCTAAGAAAAAGCCACAGGAAAGGCGTGACAGTGGCTCCTTTAATTGCTGACTTGGAGAAAGCTAGGTCAAGGGTTCATTATGGCATCATCTTGTATTCCTATAGTAACGGATCGTTTTATTAAAGTAATACCTTAAGGCTTTTGCTGTGTTGCATGGCTGTAGGCAGAATGTTCAGTGATTGTCTATTCATTTGCCCTATAGGAATACAAGATGCCCACAGAGAAGGAAGGTCCCCTGTCAAAACTTTGTCAACTTAATACACTGCACCTTCAGATTTGCTGAATGCTCCTCCACTGGTTTTTGAGAACACTATGTACACACAGGTCATGGGTTCTAGTTAATTCTTGCTTCCCATGGACCCATCAACAGCAAGTTGATCCCAATTAAGTCACCTCTACATATACCAGTTTCCCTTTGAGGGATAAATTCTTGTGTTTTGTTTGTTTTGTTTTGTTTGTTTGTTTTGTTTTGTTTTGTTTTGTTTTCATTTTATGAGAGAAAGCCCTCTCCCCTCAGGACTTGCAGTAAATCCGCTTCAGGACCTGTTCTGGTGTGGTCTCACACTTGCCAGCAGAGGGCGTTCTACTCAGATCTCCCTGGTGTGTGACTTCACACGGAAGGTGAATTAGTCGCTTGTAGTGCCCAGCATATGACCAAGAACGGTTCAAAAGAGTGGGCACCCTGGTGACACTTTTAGCCCTGGGGAACTGGGGTAAATAGTAAATGTGCATGACTATTGTAAGTCTTGGAGAACAGGAGGGCAGAAACCAGATAAACCTGAGAGGCTCATGGTGGACCTGCACAGGCCGCAGGTAACCCCGAGAGCCCCTGGCAGGCCCCATGTGCACTGTGGGGCTGCCCTGGGATCCGTGGGAAGCCCTTCTGTCCTTGCCACCCTGGCTGGCAGCAGCAGCAGTAGAAAGCCGCATTCCTGAGGTTTTCCCAGCACACTTTGGGGTGATGGGGCCAGAGGGTCGGGATCAGAGACACCCTACTGGGGTTGCCGGGGACCTGGTCAGCCTACGTGTGTTCTTGGTTGTCTAGAGCTCATCCAACAACCAGGGTTTGGCCTTGGGGAAAAAACTTCCCCCAAAGCTCATTTCATCCAACTTCATAAGCCAAGCGCGCATGTCTAAAGTTGGGCCATAGGAGTCCGTTGACCTATAGGCTAAACCAGAAAGGCTCACTGGGGCCACAGGGCAGTCTTCCCCAGGCCTTTGCATCTCCAGAGCCAACTATGGGTCATCTCTTCTTCTCAGCCAAAAAGTAAGTCTGGTTTCCTCCAGTGACTTCAGTTTCTATGATTTGAACCCCATTGAGAGGTGATGTGTTAGCCAACAACACAGCCAAGCTTCGAGGGCATCTCTTGGGACGCCTGTTTCAAAAGGTGGATTTCATTTCATTTTTGATTACTTAGTAAGCGATCACCAAAGGACTGGGAACCTGGGAGGGCCAAAAAAAAAAAAAAAAAAGTTAAGTTTTTTTTTCATTTTATGTGCATCTGAATTTAGGGGCAATTTTGTGTATCTGCAGTAAGGATATGTTTAGAACATAATTCTTTTGTTTTTGTTTAAGAAGCACCTTATGTAGTATAATATATTTTGTTTTTGAAATTGCAATGCTTGTTTATCAGACAATTGAATGTAGTAATTCCGTTCTGGATTTAATTTGACTGGGTGAACATGCAAAACCCACGAAAAATATTTAGTTTTTTTTTGTAGAGCTACCTTGTCATGTATGCGGTCATTGATGCCTAAGGCCTGGTGATTATTCATTTAAATGAAGATCACATTTCATATCAACTTTTGTATCCACAGTAGACAAAATAGCACTAATCCAGATGCCTATTGTTGGATATTGAATGATAGACAATCTTATGTAGCAGAGATTATGCCTGCAAAGGAAAATTATTCAGGGCAGCTAATTTTGCTTTACCAAAATATCAGTAGTAATATTTTTGGACAGTACCTAATGGGTCAGTGGGTTCTTTTTAATGTTTATACTTAGATTTTCTTTTAAAAAAATAAAAACAGACAAAAAAATTCTAGTACTATAGATGATGTAATACCAGCTAAATCCAAACAATAATAAAGTGGAGGGTTTTACATTATTCATCTAATGTGTTTGTATTCATGTTACGATACTACTACATTTGAAATGGGCAGAGAACACCAGATGGTTGGAGTGTTAGCCCAGGAATCTCAAATAATTTTAGAAATCTCTTCTTGTTCTTATTTGAAGTGCCACTAATGGACAGCTGACACTTTGCAGCTGATACTGCTGTTGGGGGTAGGGAACATGTTGTCTTCCCCACCCCCTCCACACTCGGAGGCAATTTAAGTTTTGAAAGACATGATCAACCTGGGGTTAGGGTAGGGTGGGGAACTAAGGTCAGGAATTTGGAGAGTGGGAAATACAGTAATAAAAGCCTTGAAAGTATTTTGAGGCAGATCGATACTGGCACCTGGGGTATGCACCGGGGTTCTGTATTCCACTCGTGTCCTGTAAACTACAAATGACAGCCATTTCTAAAATGGCAGCTGGAATTCTATGGAAGAAGAAGCGTCATCCACAGTCTAAGGTCTAAGTCTAAGGAACCGCTAGCGGTCTATGTTTCTTTTGGCCATTGCCAAGCTCCAAGCTTGCAGTTTACTATGGTAATGATTCCGTAATGCTGTCATGCAACAGAGAGGCTAGTTCATCCAAAGAGAAGACCCTACGTAGGTCGCAAAATCCAGTCCCTAAGGAAGTTCAGTCATTGGTTAGATTTTCCTGTTAATCTTGCAAGGCCGTCTAACCATGCCATATCCCATGCTTTCTGGGGGCTGAACAAATAAGGGACTTACCGGTAATTTACTCTTGATCACATTAAGGTGTTCTCGCATGAAAATCTTATACATTGAAATGGCCACTGATTTAGGCCATCGGTTTGGAGTACCCCTACATGAAACCAATTCCAAATCCCTTCCTATTCATACTTTCCTACTCTGAGATGGCCTGTGGATGCCGGGAATGGTCACTAGGACCGTAGTAATGTCTAATATTCACAGGCAAATCTGCTTTGGGAAACTAGTTATTTGGAAGGCAAATAGAGTTGTATAGTAGTTTATGAGGCAACCATGATTCTTTTCAGTACAAGGCTTGGGAGGATGATCCAGATTACACTGCACTCTTCCCAGGTGAACTCCCTGAAAACTTACTCTCAACTGGAGCAAATGAATCAAACTGTGGTTGGTCCCAAATATTCATCTTTTCATTAGTGTGATTCCTCTGTTTCTAACTGCATTTCCTTTTCATCTAGATTAAAGTGAGTGTGGCCTCTTTCTAAGTCGTTTAAAATTGTTTTCTAAGTAATCGCTGCCTCTGTTATGGCACTTCAATTTTGCACTGTCTTTCAGAGATTGAAGAAAAATTTCTATTCTTTGTGTTTTTTTTGCATCCAAATGTGCCTGAACTTTTTAAATATGTAAATGCTGCCATGTTCCAAATCCATCTTCAGTGTCTTTGTATAGAGCTGTGTACCCTGGAAACAACATTCAGCCCCATGAGCAGGTGCCTGAGATGTGGACCCCTTTGCATTTACAGAGAGGTCATTGGTCATAGAGACTTGAATTCATAAGTGACATTATGCCAGTTTATGTTCTCTCACAGCTTATAAACAATGCTTTTTGTACACAACATCTTCTTCAATGTAGAGCTCTTGTTTTATGGGAAAAGGCTGAAATGCCAAATTGTGTCTCACGGTTTAATATGCCTTTTCGCTGATGCATACTATTATCGATGTGATTCTGTTTTGTTGCAGCTTTGCTTTGTTTAATGAAACACAATTGTAAACCTCTTTTGCACCTTTAAAAAGTAAGGAGTCCAGTGGGATGCTCAAGCACCTGTAAACAATTTTCTCAATCTGTTTGATGTTCAAATAAAAATTAAACAAATGACAACAGGCTTGTTTTATGTAAACTCCCTTCTTGCTAATGGCTCACCACTGACTGCCTCAAATCAAGGTGATGGAATGCATCTGAAGAACACAGTGACTCTTAAAGATCAGTCTGATGCCAGGATCCCTCTCGCCAGGCCTAGGAGGAGGTGTGTGGACACTGGAGGCAGGCAGACTGGCCTCACTGCTTGGGTCCACCACATATGAGGTTTATGATCATTGGCAATGAGTTTTTCAGAGCCTCCGCTTCCTCATCAACAAAACGTGACAGTGACACCTAATTCACAGGGTAGTTGGGAGGCTTCTATGAGGTGCTTCTTAAAATACTGGTTGTTTTCTAATAGCTAACCCTGTCGCATCCCCTGTAAGGGGGAAGAAAGAAGCTTGAGAGTGGTTACTTGTGAATGAAAGAGTGAGTGTGAATGAACAATCCGAAACTTAAATAATTTGCTCAAAACCTTCTCCCCATCGTGACGGTAAGACACGAATGACCAGTGCATCCCCACCCCATCCCACCTCTGGTTTCCATTTTAGGACTCCCCTCCTTTTTTAGAGCTACCTGCAGGCTCCTTTTTTTCCCTTTTCTCTGTAATTTAATGGATGAGTTGGGGGGAAATAGTGTGACTTACTAAGGGGCAACATGATACAATAGTACAGGCTCTACAGCTAGGTTACTCAGTTG